TAGAATACTTGGCATCCCTCAGTTTTTCTCTCCCAAGTGCGATATCTTTCCTATGAATCACTAAATGACTCTTCTAATATCCCCCACGACTGAGGTCTCCCAAGATAAGAAAGTTTTCTCATTCTCTGTGTTGCTCTTGTAATTCTCATCGGAAATTTCCATAGTATTATTATCATATTCTGGTATAATTTTTTATCTCCATCACCGCAACATCTTTTGTACTTCTGCTTTGATTATGTCCTGTTGATATAATTATGACAGACAGATAGAGAGAGACAGAGAGAGAGCATGGGGGGGGGGGTGCATGGTGACGTCACGTGACAGACAGGTGTGTCATGCATGACACTTTTCTTCATGACGGTCCAAAAATTCTCGAGGAAGATACATCAGGAGGATACATATCCATGGTTCATGCCCATGCATACCAGGGGGGGTCACTAGTGATTAAATCGTATGTCTACACACACACACACACACACACACACACACACACACACACACACACACACACACACACACACACACACACACACACACACACACACACACACACACACACACACACACACACATATATCCTGTTGCTGATACATGTCAACGCCCTCACGGGATACTTTATCTTTTATATCAACGTTTGCTGGTGTAAAGTTAATGAGAATGATGAGAGGGGAGGGCTGAAGAGATGGGGCGGGAATTATCAGGCGCCAATCCATAACGACTCTATATAGAGCATCTGGAAGGGGTCACGATTTGGGATGGGACGGAGGGAAAGAGATGGGACGGAGGGGAAAGAGATGGGACGAAGGGAAAGAGATGGGACGGAGGGGAAAGAGATGGGACGGAGGGGAAAGAGATGGGACGAAGGGAAAGAGATGGGACGGAGGGAAAGAGATGGGACAGAGGGAAAGAGATGGGACGAAGGGAAAGAGATGGGACACTTCCATATACTTCAATACGAACTACACTCTCCAAAGGCCGTCAGTTAATAGCTCCTGGATGTTAAACCCCAGACAAATGTAAACATTTGTAAATATGTAAATGTAAATAAAATCTAAATAAAGAGGTCATAGAGGCAGGAATAAGATAATGGGAAGGAAAAATGCTCGTCAGACATTAAAATAAAAAGATCTAGGAGTGAACCCACCCACCCACCGGGCTTATCATCACTCGCAGGCTCACATCAACACGGTAACATCAGCGGCGTATGCAAAGTTGGTGAAACACACACACATGGACCAAGAACTCTACTAGACGGTATATCACTTTAACCCATTAACCCCGCCGAATCCAGATGAAAAAAAATCTCAGGGACATTGGGGGGGGGATGGGATGACAAGCCGCTGGCTTCTTGTACTCGTCGAAGCCACAAGATAGTAACCCTCAGGTAAATTCAGGTAAATGCTAAAATACGTAAATAAATCCTGATATGGACTTGTAGTACTGAGTAAAGCTGGAGATATGATAAAGGTTATACATTCCAGTTATCCGACTTGTTCTGTATGAACCTTCAGTTATTCGGCTTGTTCTATATACACCTCCAGTTATCCGGCTTGTTCTATATACATCTCCAGTTATCCGGATTGTTCTATATACATCTCCATTTATCCGGTTTGTTCTATATACATCTCCAGTTATCCGGATTGTTTTATATACATCTTCAGTTATCCGACTTGTTCTATATACATCTCCAGTTATCCGGATTGTTCCATATACATATTTGCAGCAATATGCAACTCCATATAGTTACATATATACAACTATATGTATATAGTTGTAAATTCAACCTAAAATCGAATCCCGGGAGCTGAAACTCGACCCCGGCAAACCATGAGCTAGATACACTAACCTACAGAAAATTACAGCCAGAGTTTGGGCTAACTATTAGAATTGGGCAGACATATGGCTGTTAGAGTTTAACGTCAGCACGTGTAAGGTAATGGAGCCGAGAAGGAATCTATGCCAACATGAAAAGCCATTACATAACCCGGAAAGATAAATGGAGGTGAACAAATCCACAAGGGCCGTGACGAGGATTCGAACCTGCGTCCGGGAGCATCCCAGACGCTGCCCTTAATCGACTGAGTTTGTGGATGTATAATGAGAGTGGAGGTAATTCCAACACTTGAAACTACATTTTCAGCCTTTTTAACCTTAAATAAAGTCTATTTCAAGATAATTTATTCATAATTTATATTATAAATAATTTATTATTTAATTTATTATTTAAGCCTATACTAGAGTACATCGCACCGGCCTGGAATCTGCTCCGTATGAAACGAAGACTGAATAAATGAAGAGGTTTGCAACAAGATTAACCCCAGGACTTAAGAAGGTTAAGCTCTTGAGAGGTTATGATCACGGCATACAAGATACCCTGAGAAATATGCAAGGGGGTATAATGAAAGCCTCTGTAATTGGAGAGAAAATAGGCACAAAAACATGGAATTTGAAATCGGAAGTGAGTTGAAATATAAGGAAATACTTGTACCCTGTACGAGTGATAAAACAGGTGGAATGCAGTGGAAGAAGTTGTAGAAGCCACCTCTTTTAAAAAAAAATATAAGGTCATATTCGTCAAAGAATTATAACGTTAGATTAGTTATATTTTAGCGCATAGGGTCCAAGAAGGCGGGCTAGAGGACGGGCCAGAGGACGGGCCAGAGGACGGGCCAGAGGACGGGCCAGAGGGCGGGCCAGAGGACGGGCCAGAGGACGGGCCAGAGGACGGGCCAGAGGACGGGCCAGAGGACGGGCCAGACGGCGGGCCAGAGGACGGGCCAGAGGACGGGCCAGAGGACGGGCCAGAGGACGGGCCAGAGGGCGGGCCAGAGGACGGGCCAGAGGACGGGCCAGAGGACGGGCCAGAGGACGGGCCAGAGGACGGGCCAGAGGACGGGCCAGAGGGCGGGCCAGGAAGACCTAGGGTTCACTTTCCAGTAGTGACCTTTGGGTACTCACTGGCAGGCGAGTACCGAGAGGTAAGGGAGAACCATCTCTTCAAGTCAGCTGCTGCTGCTGCTGACGCTGCTGCTGCTGCTGACGCTGCTGCCTCCTGACCTGTCAGCGTGCGGGAGGAGGGTGTGTGTATGTGGGGGGGGGTGTGCTGACTCCCTCCCCCCTCTGACCTGATAGTCAAAACACTCCGCTCAGTTCTGCACCTCACCTGGGGACTTTTGCTTAGGTCTTATCACTTACAAGTTGGCAGATAGCACGGATATGTGAGCGTGTGCCGAAGGAGTAAGAGAGAGAGAGAGAGAGAGAGAGAGAGAGAGAGAGAGAGAGAGAGAGAGAGAGAGAGAGAGAGAGAGAGAGAGAGAGAGAGAGGGAAGAGGGTCAGGAACAAGAGAAGTGAGGCAGACAGGAGGTTGGAGGCACCTTGAGGCAGCTAGGAGTCTACAGAGGGAGCCACCGGTGATGTATATAATATAGGAAGTCTAGACAAAGTTGGCCATTTTTGTCCCCCTCTTTTGCGACACTTTTTCTCACAGGTTGGACACGGCGACGGGATATATGTTGTTTTACTCTTTGTCTTTGTCTTGAACTTTGTACATGTTTAGTGGCTTTGTGGCTGAGGTGGTTGGGCTCTGGCTCTTTGGTCCCGCCTCTCAACCGTCAATCATATCTACACTTGAAACTGTGTATGGAGTCAGCCTCCACCACATCACTGCCTAATGCATTCCATTTGTCAACCACTCTGACACTAAAAAAAAGTTGTGTGTGTGTGTGAGTGCGCGCGCGTGTGTGTGTGTGTATGTGTGTACTCACCTAGTACTCACCTAGTTGTGCTTGCGGGGGTTGAGCTCTGGCTCTTTGGTCCCGCCTCTCAACCGTCAATCAACTGGTGTACAGGTTCCTGAGCCTACTGGGCTCTATCATATCTACACTTGAAACTGTGTATGGAGTCAGCCTCCACCACATCACTGCCTAATGCATTCCAGTGTGTGTGTGTGTGTGTGTGTGTGTGTGTGTGTGTGTGTGTGTGTGTGTGTATGTGTGTGTGTGTGTGTGTGTGTGTGTGTGTGTGTACCATTACATTACCATCTGCTCAACTCCGTGTCACACCGTGTAATAAACTGGTTAATGTGGCTATTGCCACATCTCCACAGTGCCACAAATATTACTATTGCCACACCCTTGCCTGGCGGAGGACACGAGGTGCACCTCCACAGGTACTCATCACTCGAGAGGCTCTTCCTCCAAGGCCTTCACACCATTCCGTTAACATTGCGACGTATATCTAGGAGGCCTGGTCGACGACCGGGCCGCGGGGACGCTAAGCCCCGGAAGCACCTCAAGGTAACCTCAAGGTAAGGTACCTAAAATAGAGAGAGCACCGTAATATGGACGTTATCTTGAGGTTATCTTGAGATGATTTCGGGGCTTAGCGTCCCCGCGGCCCGGTCCTCGACCAGGCCTCCTTTCTGTTAAACACCCCCCCCCCCACCCCCCCAAAGAAGCAGCCCGTGACAGCTGACTAACTCCCAGGTACCTATTTACTGCTAGGTAACAGGGTAATAAGTGTTTACAATTATTAAACATATCGCAAGTTCTCCGTGTAGACTTTTTTTCAGAGTTCTGATTGTCGTAACCGTGTCCCTGAGAGCCGCCATCGTTTAGTGCCCTCGACGGGAATAGGAAGCCGGCGGCTTGTCAATGGTCCTCCTACCCCCTGCCCTCCCCCATTGTTTCTGTGGATTTGTCCTGCTGGATTATACTCCAAATCCAATATTTATTGCTTTTACGCCGGGCCGCGGAGACATTGATCCCAGAAAGCGAGAAAAGACACACGAAAGGTAGATTGATGATTGATGAAGATTAAGCCACGCAAGAGGTGGCACGGGCATGAATAGCCCGTAAGTGGTGGCCCTTTCGAGCCATTATCAGTATCAAAAGATGATACTGGAGATCTGTGGAGGCGCAACTGCACCCTGCGTGACGGGAGATGTCTCCCGGACCAAGTGGTGACCAAATGGTGACGAAAGGTAGGAAGACATTTCTCATTACCGCAGATTATGTCTTTGGAATATCACTAATTCAGATTTATCTTTTGCTGAGAGTACATAGTTAACCCGGATGGTGAGAGCCGGCTGTGTTGCCGAGCAACCCCGTTCTCGCACTTTCGTACAGTCAATATTGACTTATTAAATAAGTGCATATGTGACATACTAATTTATTGTGAATATTTTAGTTTACCTTGAAAAGCTTCATAGAAAACACCGACCTCACCTAACCTTCTTAGTATGTTAAGATAAGCATCTTATTGCTTCGTAATTACAATTATTACTTAACCTATACCGTTGATAGGTTAAGTAATAATTAAGAAGCAATAAGATGCTTATCTTAACATACTAAGAAGGTTAGGTGAGGTCGGTGTTTTCTATGAAGCTTTTCAAGGTAAACTAAAATATTTACAATAAATGAGTATGTCACATATGCACTTATTTAATAAGTCAATATTGACTGTACGAAAGTGCGAAAACGGTGGCGAGAGTGAGCCTGATGGCTTGACGAAGGTCCGTGGGTTGGGTCCTTCACCCTCAGGAGCCCCACACTTCCCTGATCGCCCGCCGGAGGGCTGCGGGTTGGGTCCTTCACCCTCAGGAGCCCCACACTTCCCTGATCGCCCGCCGGAGGGCTGCGGGTTGGGTCCTACACCCTCAGGAGCCCCACACTTCCCTGATCGCCCGCCGGAGGGCTGCGGGTTGGGTCCTTCACCCTCAGGAGCCCCACACTTCCCTGATCGCCCGCCGGAGGGCTGCGGGTTGGGTCCTACACCCTCAGGAGCCCCACACTTCCCTGATCGCCCGCCGGAGGGCTGCGGGTTGGGTCCTTCACCCTCAGGAGCCCCACACTTCCCTGATCGCCCGCCGGAGGGCTGCGGGTTGGGTCCTACACCCTCAGGAGCCCCACACTTCCCTGATCGCCCGCCGGAGGGCTGCGGGTTGTGTCCTGGTCCCCGGCGTCCACTCCAGTGCCTCCAAAGTGCCTCTCTGGACCCATTGCCAAGATTGGCATCTCCTCGGGGGCCTAAACTTCCAACTTGAAGACACAACTGCTTCCTTTAAACTGCTTGGGGCTGCTACTGTTTCTGTACGGGGGGGGGGGTGTTGTAGACAACTTCTGTCCGCCCAATCGCTACAGTACTTCAGTTCCCCCCCCCCCTCCCTCACTTCCCAAATAAGCCTTGGATATATATATTTTAACTTTCTAGATGATTTGTTTTCCCATTACGGGGGGTTCGATGCTTGAGCTGCATATTAGAAGGTTGGTCTTATGTATGTTGTGTACGGAGATTCGAAGGGATTGGTCATGGGTTATATGAAGCAACTCGTCCTGCTAATTGAACCTTGCGTTTTGACGTATACTCTACCTAAGGTCAAATATTTTGGTTATGGTGGTGACGGTGGTGGCACTGATGGTGGTGACGGTGGTGGCACTGATGGTGACGGTGGTGGCACTGATGGTGATGGTGGTGGTGATGGTGGTGGCACTGATGGTGACGGTGGTGGCACTGATGGTGATGGTGGTGGCACTGATGGTGACGGTGGTGGCACTGATGGTGATGGTGGTGGCACTGATGGTGGTGGTGATGGTGGTGGCACTGATGGTGACGGTGGTGGCACTGATGGTGATGGTGGTGGTGATGGTGGTGGCACTGATGGTGACGGTGGTGGCACTGATGGTGGTGACGGTGGTGGCACTGATAGTGATGGTGGTGGTGATGGTGGTGGCACTGATGGTGACGGTGGTGGCACTGATGGTGATGGTGGTGGCACTGATGGTGAGGGTGGTGGTGATGGTGGTGGCACTGATGGTGATGGTGGTGGTGATGGTGGTGACGGTGGTGGCACTGATGGTGATGGTGATGGTGATGGTGGTGGCACTGATGGTGACGGTGGTGGCACTGATGGTGGACGGTGGTGGCACTGATGGTGGACGGTGGTGGCACTGATGGTGGACGGTGGTGGCACTGATGGTGACGGTGGTGGCACTGATGGTGACGGTGGTGGCACTGATGGTGATGGTGG